CCACCCCAGGTGACTGGCGCAATCTTCTACCTGGCGCAGGTGCCGTTTGACCGGCTGCCCCACCTTGTGGAGCTCGGGGTGCACGACAGGGTGCTCGAGGAGTCGGCGCCCGCTGACGTGGCGGCGATCGCAGGGCGCCTCACGCACCTGGGTGAGAGTATTTGGGGGGGGAGGGGTTGTGATGGGGCGCAGACGTGTGTAAAACGTAACGGGCGAGGCGGAGGTTCTCGTGCGCTTGCTGCCGGGCCGCGACGCAGCGGCGTCCCTTTCATGGGAGAAGTGAATGCGCTTGCTAGTCCTAGCAGGGGGCCCCATGCCTAGGCAGCTGGCTTACGTGTGTCCCCCTCCCTGAAGCCATGCATCCATGTCGCTCCATTTTCCTGCCTCATCCCCACGGACCACCGCCACCGCCCCCTCGGCCTCCGCGCGACAGGGATCTACCTGTCAACAGTGGGCTTCATCGAGTCATCCGACGTGGAGGATGACGCCCTCGCCTTGGACGACCCCCTCGACTTCTGGGCCTGGGTGCCCACGCTGCGCGCGCTGACCGCCGTCACCCAGCTGTCGTTCAACTCGTTCGTATCCGACAACCGCTACACGCTGCCGTGCCTGTATGCGTGCTGCCTCGGGCTGCGGGGCCGGGTGCAGCACCTGCACCTCTACAACCTGAGCCGCGAGGACGACGCTTGCGACATCCTGCCGCTCGTCGCGCGCCGCTGGGGCCCCTGCCTGCGCCGCCTGACGCTGCACTGCTGCGAGGGCGTCACGCCGCGCGCGCTGCGGGCGCTGGCGGGCGCTGCAGGGCCGGGGCTGGCGGAGGTGCACCTGAGGTGCTGCCCCGGCCTGAGCGAGGAGACTGCGCGCGCGGCAGTGGCGGCGGGGGTGCAGGAGGGGGCGACCGTGCCCGAGGTGACTCATCTTGTCGCGGATTGGTGGAGCGATGACTGATTGCCAGGCCAGCGGGCTGCAGAGTGCCGGGCCAGGCAACATACCATTTTCATCAGTTTGCGTTTCTCTTCTCTTTTACTTGCGTGTTGCGCTGTTGGTGTCTTGTTCGTGACTCCTTGGTAGCCTCCTGCTCGCTCCACAGCTGTCATCGATCACAAAGTGTGCCTGCTTCTGCAGGCAAGTCCAATCTCCATCACCTTCCCCTGAGTGCAGTTTGCGTCCTGTGTCCCCTCGCGCGCTTTATGAATTCCTGGATCTGGCTGCGGTTGCTCAGCTCATGTGCACGGTGCCTTGCTGCAACAAGTTTTGTACGACTATCATCGCTCCGTGTGTAATCCCATTCAACTCCTCGCTTGTTGTCTGCCGCGTTGGCGCATCAGGCACCCAGTTGGCCAAGCGAGCGAGAACGCTGCACGAGGTAGCATCACCTAGGAGAGCTCTGTCATGCCCATGAGCAGTCCGCGTCAGCACTGCATGGGGCACATTGTCTGCAGGCTGCTGAACGGGAACCCGTGGTCCTGGCTGGCACATAGCACGTGACCTCAGGACCGACGACGCCCTGAAGGGAGCATGGGCATGGGAACGGCAAGGCGCCCTAGTCGCGTGACACCCATGCACATCCCTATACCCCTTGCTGTTGAAGCCCCGTCACCGAGTACATTCACACGATGACATGCCACACCCGCGCGTGTCACCTGGCATCTTGTCATGCTGAAGCGGTGCGGCACCTTACAAGCAGTGAAGCCAAAAGCAACAGGGCCTGATGACACATGATGACGCGGGCGGGTGCGCCCTTCGGCATGCGCAACTGAAATGCAATAAGAAGAGTGACGCCTACAAGCAAAGGGCATCCTGCTGATGGGTCTTGCTGGCTGGGGCATGCGTTGCCTGCGGTAGGCCCAGCAACCTCTGGGGCGCTCATGCAGAGCTTCTGATCCTGGCGTGTGAGGCGGGGAGGGGTGAGACTGCACAGCCTGATGCATGCAGTAATAAGCGCTGTCATGAGCATGCGCGCACCATCGCGGTGGCGGCACATCCGGCAAGTGGAAGTGATGACGTGGCAAGAAAGGGCAACGAGGTGACGCGCAGTTGTCGAGGAATAATGTTCAAGTGCACTCGTAAAGTAAAGTGGCAGAACAACGCGTAGGGCTTGCAAACCGAGGTTTGGTAGCCTGCGCCAACCACACCAGCAGCAAGCTGCAGGAGGCAGGCGCGAAACCACCCTGCCGCGGCCGCGCAGAGCGCGTCGAGCAGGCTCGCACGACCAACATCGGTGGACACAACACACCAGTGGGCATCACACGCCAACAAGAAGTGGGAAACCCCTTCACACGCCTCACTAAGGCGGGTGTTGGCGCTGTCGCGCGCAAGAGGCGCCCCTCACATCATCCCCGCCCCGGTGCCCGAAGGCGCCCTGCTGCGTGGGTATCCCATGACCGGCTGCTGCGCCGCGGGCCGCCCCATGAACCCTGCGCCGAGCAGCGGCCCCGTCTGCTGCGGCAGCATCCCTGCGTGCGCCGGCGGCGCCGAAGGTTCCGCCAGCAGCGCAGCGCGCGCGTCCGCGAGCGGCAGGTGCTGCCCCGGGCCGGCGGTGACCGAGGAGCCCCGTGACCACACTTGAGGGTACGCCTGCTGCTGGCCGCTGCCGCCGGGCGCGAGGTCCGGGTACATGCGGGGCGACAGCATCGGGCCACTGGTGGCGTGCTGCATCGGAGGGTACGCCACGTGCTGCTGCTGCTGCTGCTGCACCGCCGTCGCGGACGTCGGCCGGTCAAACGAGCGCGCGCTGGCCGCGACGCTGCCAGCCCCTTGCTCGCCGACGCTGTAGCGCGACCCCGGGCTGGCGGCCACGAAGCTGCCCGCCTTGCTCTTCCTGCCGGCGCCGCCGCCGATCGTGATCGACGCCACGACTGCGCCCTCCTCCAGCCCGATGCTCGACAGCCCCCGTGGCGCGAGCGCGACTGACGGCCGCGACCCCGGGCTGGGGGCCGGTTGGTAGTCCCTCTTGTCAAAGCACACGCAGCCGCAGCAGCCGTCGGCCAGCGAGTCCAGCTTGCGCAGCACGACCAGGGCGCACACCATGGAGAGCCAGGCGAGGAAGCCAAAGGTGAGGGTGGCGAGCCACTGGATGTAGACGACGTCGGCGAGGATGCAGCAGAGGAGGCCCTTGACGCGCTCGTACAGGGGCCGCACCTGTGAGGATGTTTGCATATGTGTGTGAGTGTGAGTGTGTGTGTGCAAGAGAGAGGGAGAGGGAGAGGGAGAGGGAGAGGGAG